AAATGCAGTCTGACCACTCTGACTCTGACATGACAGCATCCGTGCATCAAACCAATGATGGAGCTGGGTTATAAAATGTTTTCCTTCATAAAGATAAGGTCAGTTTAAGGTTAATTTTTGTGACATCTTATTATTTCATAACTACCTAGTCTACCTTGTTAATGTGTTTAGTTATCATAAATAGGTAGCCCATTGATTAGGAAGATCATACCTAAACCTATCTGAGGAGTGCCTGGAGTAGTGGAGTGAGGCTGACTTAAGGGGAGCATCTCGCCTAAAATTTATCTCAGTAATTTACAGAGGGATCAATCTGAAATTTGGTACACATGTGTAAACCCTAAAATAAAACAGGTTTTATTGGTGTCAATTTTTTGACAAAATTGAAAGAAAACGTGAAATTCTTAGAAAACGACCAAAAAGGGGCACTTTAGAAAACCTATCTCCTCCTGGGATTTTCAAGCTACAACATCGAGACACGTATCATTTGATGCGTAAAGACCACATCTACAATATTGTGTATAGGTTTTTTTGAATTTTTAATTTTTGTGGGTGTGGGAGCATTTTTTGAAAAATTTTCAGAAATTTTTCTATTTTACCCACCGCCTCCCCCCTTTTTGCAGAATAAAATCTAAACTATAACGAAATTAGAAAAACGCATACACACTTTTGTAGATCTTTTTTTTTTCAAATCGAATGGTGTTTGTCTCATTGATGTAGCTTCAAAACTCTAGGAGGAGATAGGTTTGCAGTGACAATAAATTAACTTTTCAGTAGGGCCCGACAAAGTCGCACGTGCCTCGAAAAAGTCATTCAAGGGTGCAAGGTTGCAAGACTACCTACAAGATATTGGAGCTCAATTTCTGTCAAGGATGGTGCAAACGACGGCATGAGAGCCATCCCATATGACTGCAGGCGGATAACTGAAGCACAGCATGTTCAGACTAGCTATTTAAGTGTGCTACCGGTAATTTAGGCCTATATTAAATGTTAAGGAACTCCACCACCCCTAACCCTTTCGAGATCTGCCGTGAACGCATAAATCAATGTACAGAGATGGTTTTGGTACTGTTATAACTTATATGCGGCAGAATGTAAGCTTTAAAATGAGTATAAAACCGAAAAAGTCAAAATTTTCGATTTTGACCATGACGCTCCCCTTAACTGGAAAATGGGAAAAAGCCACCTATGAGTCTGTGACCAGTGAATTAGAGAATAAACAACTGCAAATTTGGCCAATTTTACCCATTCCTATGGCCCTTTCCTAATTTCTCTCAGTTTTCAGGCAATGCCAATTGGCAATTGCCAGGTCATAGTGACTAAGTGACAAACCAGAGATTTTTTTGAATCAGTTCATTTTTAACTTCCTCATTTACCTAAGATTTAAACCAATTTCTTATGTATGATATGGCTGGTATCCAGGATACTTTACTGGTCTACTTATGGGACTCAAAAATGAACTTGAGGGAGAATCTAAAAAACTCTCTGCTTTGCCACTATGCTGAGTGAGTGCCAGGTTACCTTTTTTCAGAAAAAAAATATCAACAGTTTGGTTTGCAGGTAGGGTATGCCGGCATAACTCATAAGAATCCTATTTGTGGCAATAGACAGATGATAAAAAACTATGAAACTGACAGCATTATGCATTGACACTTATTAAATACCGTAAAATGGGGTAACTTAGACCACTTTTTTTATAAATGATGCCATTTTTTTACTAGCTAAATTAAACTTGAATTAAAACATGCAAAATACAGGTCTATACGCTAGCTTCACTCACCATAAATTGCTGGTTCCTGCCTCTCATAGTCTTTATGTAATTTCAAAAAAAGTGATGGTCTTTGTTACCCCAGATCTTGGGGTAACTTAGACCGGGTGGTAAAATCAATTATATTTTTTGGTAAAATAACTCCAAATAACTCCAGGTTTTGGTGCATTGTAGTAGAACTTTTCTAGTTACATATGCAAATGACAAACTTGAGGAAAGTGTCATAGTTTGCAAATGGGGGTTCCCGCCCCCCAGGTGGTCTAAGTTCCCCCAAACGGGAGAACTCTGACCACCTAATGGCAGCCCTGACAGGGTTAACATAGGCCGGCCTGGAAATTAAGTGAAATTACCATATATAAGAATAAGACTTTGTAGAGTCTGAAACCTAAAGAAAAAACATAAATAGGCTGTCAAACATAAAATATGTTATATATGGTAATTTTATATAACTTCCAAGCCGGTCTATGTTACCCTGTCAGGCTGTCAGGGCTGACATTAGGTGGTCTAAGTTACCCCATTTGAGGGTGGCACCCCCCATTTGCAAACTATGACACTTTCCTAAAATTTGTCATTTGCATAGCTTATGTAACTAGAAGAGTTCAACTCAATGCATCAAAACCTGGAGTTATTTAACCAAAAAATAAAAAAATTGGAGGGGGTACTCTGACAGGCTTTAAATAATAGCTTCTTTTCATGGGTCACATTTTTAATTTTTTAACCTATTAGATATGCAAACTTTTTAAATCTTTCTATTGTGTTATGTGGTCTCAGTATTAGGCCTTTAATGCCCATTGACAAAGTTTTTCTATGTCAAATAGTTTTTGAGTTGTGGGGGTTTTTGTTAAAAAAACAAAGAGTGGTCTAAGTTACCCCGCCGGTCTAAGTTACCCCATTTTACGGTAACAGGGTATACAAATAGAAGGCTAAACACTAATTTAGGTGGATCTCATCAGTCATCAGCAGTCAGCACAATCCTAGCCGCACAAGCCAGCAGAATATGAATGTTATAGCTGGCTAATAATGAAATAGGTAGCTAGGTCTGTTTTTCTTCCTCTTAGTAAGGATATCTAACTCACCTTTGTTCAGTAGATTTCGACAAAGACGTAAAAACTTGTGTTATATAGACGGCAACTAGGTTAAGAGGCGAACAACTTGTTAACGAGGTAGCCTATATGAAATCAAAGTCATCAACCACAGAACTGTAACTTCCCAACTAAAATGTACCTGACACCAGCTAACTGGCAGCAACAACGAAATTTGGGCCGGGCCTCGGTGATGCCAGTCACATTGTTTACTTTCCCTCTATTTTTGGTACAATTTCCAAAAAATCCAAAATAATCGATGTAATTCAAACAAAATATGCAGAAAATAAGTTTTTCTCATTTACAAATCTCAATAATGATGAAATCACAGACAAAATGATAAAATCACGTTGGAAGATATACCATGAATCGTAACCTTTAGAAAAACTTTTTATGACACTTTCACACATTGAATAGTAAGGTCATGATAAAACGCGTTTTGTTCTAATACTGAGATGAAGCAACATTTGCATCTAATAAATTGATGCAGAAAAAATTCTCGTGTCTATATCTGGTAGATCGAATCGAATTCTATTCAACATCGAACGAATTTATCGGAAAACGCTCTCCAGCAATGATGCTGTGCTTATCCGCCCGGCAATCTAGCCAATTTGACCAAAACTGTCGCAGGCAGCTGAGATCAAACCAACAATTTACTGCTCCGACCCTGGCACTCCACTCCTGCTCCAACCGTAACCAATAGGCCATACACACACCAATGAGACTACACCATAACGCTGTTCTCATGCACTATCACTCATCTAAGTAGAAATGAGCTAGAGTTCAATAATATACGTTTAAAAATTACTTTTAAAGACAACACTTCCAAAGAATCCAGTGTCCCCAATCTTACAGACGTACAATGAATTTCTCATTAAATTTTAGAATTAAACAAAATCAAATTTTAAATTATTTTTAATATATAAAATTTTTTTAAATATATACTTTTTCCAAAATTATTCATCCTGTTAATTGATTCATGCATTGCCTCTGACTTCACACAAGTGTGCAAAATTTCAGATCAATTAGACAGATAAAAGTGTGTCAAACATCAGTTATAAGATTTGTAGCTGACAAAAAATTTTTTTAATAATGGAAATAAATTTTTTTTCGTTTATAAAATCAGTTATTTCTACATTTGATTCATGCATTGTCTCCAACGTTACACAAGTGTGCGAAATTTCAGATCGATAGGATAAGTATAAGTGTGTTAAATTTCGATTACAAGATTTGTAGCAGACAGACAGACAGACAAACATGAAGTGAAGTTAAAGAGAAGTGTTGTAAAAAGTGAGCTGGAGTTCAAAACCTGGGATCATAAAACAATCAAACTAATATGCAAACAATTAGTTATAAACGATTCAACATATAATATACCGTTCGATTGTACAAAATTAAGTTTGAGACCTATTGCCAAATTACATAAAAAATTGTAGCTATTACTCATAATGTTCGCTCAAACGACTAGCTGAAGTTTTGAGCTTGAATACTAAGCTTCACAAACTTTACTCGGCCATAGACATGCAGGCGTAATAATTGTGTTCCTAGTCTGCGACGAAAAATAACACTAGGTGGCGCGCTAGAATGAATGGAATAACTGACCAATAAATTATGCGTAATTTATAATTTCACATTAACTCCTGTGCAATACCCTAATTACATCACAGATTCAAAACCCCATAGTATTAAAAAAGTCAGGTATCTAATACTTTCAAGCGATGTTGATTTACATGTTAGAATGAAATTATGGCTACCAGCTAAAGAGTTTAAGAAGTCGCCATGGATATTGTCTGCCTTAGTTCTTTCAGCTGACGGTTGCCCATTATGAGGAGTCCTCGGATGGTTTCCTGAAATACCAAGAAAATTGCTGCTGTAGTCACGCCTACCGTAAAACACTATAAATATTTCCGAAGACACATATTAATTGTGTGGATCGGGTTTATATTTTTCGAATTATATTAGCGTTTGTAAAAAAAATACTACCAATGCATCCGACAGATAAACAGGCGGCATGTATCCGCTTTTTTCTTAGTATTATGGGATACCAGTAATGTAAGAATACGTTTATATTTGAGCTGACCTCATCCTGATGATGGCGGTGAGCCTCAAACTCCGCGCGTGCCCACTGAGCGAGCTCCTGGCGCTGAGGTCCAGGCGGCAGTTTGTGCACGTCACGCAAGAACGAGCGATACAGCTTCAGGCTCTCCGACCGCAGCATGAACTGGCATCCGTAAGGCAGAATATTTTAGCACGGCTGACCACCAACTTTCATGATTATCTTTAGAGTTACCGCGCATTAGCATATAAGTATAGCTTAATGAATATTTATACGATAGGTATAATGATAAGGATGGTAAGGCTTCATTGTCACTATTTTACAGAATAATTCCCTTTGGTATACAACGCGTGTCCCATCTAGTGTCGGTAGACATAATAAATCAATAGGGTGGTAAGGGCAATTCGTATTGTTTCATCATCAGGTAATCCTGCCAACTAATAGGAGAAAAAAATGTCACACATAGAAGTACCTCTCTACAGAGTTTAAAAAAAGCTTCATAAGCAACCGAGATGATTAAATAAATCATAACTTACTCTTTTGAGTGACATGGCTCCGGGATCGCCCAATTTCCGCGCACCAGCTCGGTACACCGGCAGCCACAACATGGCAGCGGCCGCGTCGAGCCCGACGCCTGCTGTTCTACTACACGCTAAAAGCTTTGCTAAGCCTCATGCTATCTGCACTTTCATACATGGATAAATATCAGAGCCTGCATACTACAACACTTTCATTTAAGAGCATTTGGTTAGGTACTGAGCCTCTTCCTTCTTTAGCCATGTTTTGGATCATCTCATGACACGATTAGCGTTTAAGGTCTTACAGTAAAAATTTGGTCATTTTCATGTCTTACTCCGACATCGTACTCCCAATGACTTTTCGCGTTCCAAGCATTTGGCATCCAAGTACAAAAAATTCCACATTTAATGGGAAGCGATATATTCGGCATCATATTGGAAATACATAAATGTATATAAGATACCAAGAAGAAAGTATTATAGTTAACTCTCGGAAGCCTCATCAATAGGCCAAGCCTGCAGTTTCCTGGACTCGGGCACCCAAGGACTGTCGAGCTCCCTTAGCACGATCAGGACAATTGCCTCTTAGCATCGTGCCCCGTGAGGTCAGGCTAAATAATGTAGTCGGTACGGATAACTTAAAAAAAACTATGCCAACAAATTTTTTAAAGCACGGTTTAGAACATTACTTACGGATAACGTTGTCTGTATAAATTACCTCAAATATCACTAACAAACTGGAAGGATTAACTCTCACTTATCAAGTCAGAAATTCCTTATCGAACACGTCAGTTCCGAGTGTCCATCGAAATATTTGGCATGAGAAAGCCGAACTGAGTCAGGATGGTGAGCGAAAAGAATTAATAAATGTCAATGTTATTCTTATCTGACATAACATACAAGTTGGGGAAGATTGCGTCTGGGGCACAATAATACAGTAATAATTAAAACGAGATTTAAATACCACGTTGAGTATGGTACTTGTCCACGACGCCTAACAGGAGCGACACGTGACAGAGATAATTTATTCAGGAATGGACAGAATTATGGAAACGCTTTTGAGTGGAGAGTTTTCGCACAATATCACACTGATCATAACATAAAGCCATGTATGAATATTTCTTACAAAGTCGCTGGTATAACATCACAAAATTTGTTCATTGTTTGCTTAAACTGGGTCCAAAATACTGGAATGATCTGGATCAGTTTTTCAGTTTAAAAAAATCCCTCAGCACAGCTCACGAATCGGCGTTTCTCTGCCGAGGTTCATCATCGTCGTCAGAATCCAACTCTGAGCTCACATCTGAGCCTGACGAGGATGATGAGTCAGAAGACGAATCTGACGAGCCATCATCGCTGGATCCAGAAGAATCAGACGTGTCGCTGTCATCAGAATCAGTCGGCGCACAATCATTCGTGTTATCTCGTAAAGAAAGCGCTCTAGTTGCAACATTGAGTTCCTGTTCGGACTCGTTCTTTCCGTCAGTCAGCGCGGGATTGGCGAATGTGAGCGTCTGCAGAGACTCAGTGACACCAGCCACAGCTTCTCGTTCGTTGGTTGTGGACTGAGAGTCTTGTAGTGACTTCCGTGCGAGATCTTCTAGAATATCTAAATCAAACCCTACATCGGACTTGCTCAACTCGACCTGAAAAATATCAATACGTAAGAAGAATAGCTAGGTGCCTTTCAGCCAGTGCTATTTCTTTTTATTTTTTGCTGCGAAGGGATAGGTACATAACTAAGCTAAGTACACTAATGCGAGTCAATGATTTTGGTTTGAATTAGGACTAGTAGCTAAGTCTTCAACATTTTAACAAATACGAAATACGAAACCAGCTCGCAAAGGACGCAATTGTATATCAAATAGTGAGAATTAATATATAGTAGGAACCACTTCAATTTTGGATTTAATTTTGAATGAAACTAGAGCTCCTAGGGCGTTCTATAAATCTCAAGAACACTCGTCATGTCGGTGTCTGCAAGATCTATCTCTTGCAGGCAAATTTACATGTTAACAGATTGTTGCTGACCTCACTAAGCTCTGAGGCAAGAGTCAGCAGTCGCTCATCAGTAGCTCGCTGCTGCAGCCACAAACAATAGTCGGTGATGTAGAGATCGTTCAGGAGATAGTGATTTTCTGTCTCATTGAAGCAGCGGCGCATCTCGAGCAAGCTTTTTAGAACCATTTTTCTGCCTGGAAACCCAATTGCTTACAATTGTATAGTCATTTTGCCTTAAACTCCAAAAATTTTGCAATGAAAAATTAAATAAAAAATTAGATAACTGCATAAAAATGAAGAGAAAATTGTCTAAATAATTTTAGGACAGATGTTCTTTAAATTTGATAGCTAAATCAAATTTGTATTAATTAATTAAGTCGCATTACCGTTTTATCAAAAACAATGTTAAAAATTAGTGAATATTGAGAGCAGATTGTAAGGACCATAAAGATGCGGTTATGTGTACGTGGCGTTGAGTTCAGAGATGTTTGCTAACCGAGCTTGAGTAAAGTTACGGCATCACCGACGACGAGCTTATTGAAGTCCCAGTGCCGGAGCAGCGGGTACACCAGAGCACGTCTTGTGAACACCAGCACGCTCTCTCTCACGCTCGGCGGTGTCTGCAGGCGAAAATACGAGCAATACAGCAACAAATTTACTTAGAATATATAAATATCAGAGCTTAGTAGCGGTCAAATTTGTTGAAAAATTTCAATTGCCTGTAAAAGATGCCAATTCAATCCAATTAAAAAGATAAACATGAAGAAAGTGTTGGAAGCAAAATAGTGGATATTGTTAAACATTCTGCATAACGATTTGAGACAATTGCATGGAATTGAGGTCGATTTTATAAAATCTCCAATTAATGATAGTCGCTGTTAACAACAATTGAGAAAAATTAGAAAACATATGTCAAGATATATTCTCACAAAATAAATGGCAGAGCTGTGAAATTTGTTTTAGTTTGTGTGCTCAAAGTCAATGTGAACACCAACATCAAACCATGACAACTGCGGCGCAAGCTTCGCCATATTCCAGGCGCTGGCAACGTTGTCTTCAGCGCCCGTGATGCGGTGGTTGTAGCACCAGGCCAGCAGCAGCGAAACCAGTCCAGCACACACCTCAGCCTGAAGCCAACAAGTCGCATCAGTGAAACATACCCAACTATAGCAACCACCAAGACCTATTAGTGAACCATACCCAACTATAGCAACCACCAAGTCATATTAGTAAACCATACCCAACTATAGCAACCACCAAGTCATATTAGTGAACCATACCCAACTATAGCAACCACCAAGACCTATTAGTGAACCATACCCAACTATAGCAACCACCAAGTCATATTAGTAAACCATACCCAACTATAGCAACCACCAAGTCCTATTAGTGAACCATAACCAACTATAGCAACTACCAAGTCCTATTGGTGAACCATACCCAAATATAGCAACCACCAAGTCCTGTTAACAAACCCTAACATACAACTGCAAAACAATCTTATAACACCAGATCATAAGGGAAACAATTGCATCTCGTTGATATGGAACAAAAAGGTAAGCAAAACAGATTTAATTTTGTATACATTGTTAATTTATTTACCAAAAGGGGAATGATTTTAGGAATTAATATTTTTTGGCAGTCAAGTTTCAACAAACATAGATCAACCAGTGACCAGTAGGCTTTCTAAAAATCATCACTTAGGCAAGAGCTATCCTGAAATTTGACAACTGATAGGCACGACTTTATTAAAGTCAATCTGCCTTCCCTATCTGTTCAACTATATTTGATGCACATCAAAGATCTATAATAGAATTAATTGCTGCTAATTCACACATTCCAATAACCACCAGGTAACCAGTGTTTAAAAAGCTCAATAAAATAAAATCACTTAGAGTTTTGTCAGCAATCCCTTATGAAACTTCAGTTTCTCATGTATCCACAAAAAAATTGTGTAACAATTCGAATTTCCACAATCCATCCCATTCTTCACATAAATAAATTTAAAATACCTCCACCAGCGGAGTCTCGGCAAGCATTTCACGTCTAGGCAGCTGCAGCAGTGCTGTCTCCTCTCCACCCATGTATCGTACTGAGGAAAAGACTCATGAAGATGATTGATGAAATATATGCAACACATACATGATTATATACACTTTACTGGAATGCAAAGCCATGCTTATCTATTATACATAAAAATCATCTCGTAATGAATAATGATATGATAGGTACTTATCTCGAGACATTTAAGTGATTTAACAAAAAAGATGAAACATGAAGATGATATAGGTACTGATAAATCTATATTAGAGAGTGTCATCAACCTTAGTTAGAATTTCAGAGTGCAGGATTTTCAACTCTGTTAACTTGTGTTGGCTTCATATGTTGATTTACCATCAGGTTTGCTGAGAGAGTGGAAGTGCGGGACAAAGTTCATGTAAGAGCAAGCCGTGTCTTCAAACATATCAGCAAGATAATGATCACTGCTAAAATTTTCTGTTTCATCTTGGATCCGGAGTTCCCGCCTTCTGGTAGCAGAGGTTGTGTTAGGCTCATTGAGATCCAGTACTCCATACAAGCCTTCCTGCAAGGATGAATTAAAAGCTATGGTTTTTGATTTAATTAGCTTCTTGTATACATTTCTCAACGAAATAAATACGACACAGAATTATACAAACATTAAATCAGATCACTTTAATGATCAATAGCAATTGAGAACAGAAGGAAATTATTGCAATTGGCATGAAGCATAATAGGTATATATAAGCATGAAAGAAACCCCCTCTTAAGGTAAAAGTATAATCAGTCAGTTTTTCTCACTTGCACTGCTGGAACATTCGAGTATTTGTTTGCAAATCCATATTTAGGGCCTTCAGTTATCAATGGCTTTGGTATTTCTTGAGGTTCATAAAACTCCTCCTCTACGCTCACCAGATTTTCCCCAGTGGCACCTTGGACCTCTTGGCTGCCTTCATTGGAAGCTGCAAATCAAGAAAATCATGCAACGGATTTTTAACTGCAAGTATTAAGGTATTTCTGAATTTTCATCATCAAAGATAGACTCGTAAAAATTAGACAGCACTAAAAGCTCAAGGCTGATTCTTACATCTATGCTGATAATATACGTAAATCACAAAGCTAGGGAACAGCATTGTTGAGAACAGAATTTTCAACTAGGTTAACTAACAGGCATCTAAATTTAGCTATCAACTACAAAAATTTATTTTACAAAAATAAATTATGATGAGCAGAATCAGACAAAAATTTACTTATTTCAATTAGACACACATCATTTTTCATTTCTTCATAGTAATATAATTTCATTTAAATTGAGAAAACAACATTTCAAATCATACATGAAAATACTCATAATTCAGACGAGCCATTCCCATAATTTTTGTGACAGAGTAACACTTTGGAGGTATGTCGCTGCCAGCTAACACACCAATAATACAATTACATATTGGACATTTATTTAGTATTAGTGGCATTTTATCTTTTTCAATGCATAAATAATTTGGGCAACTGTACTGTTTGAATTTAATATAGCGTGTTTGTAACCACTATGTATAGCCAAATTATCTTGCATCATGCTGTTAACATTTTATTAAGAAGAGAATAAGTAAAGTAATTTCTTACCACAAGTGTTTAAGATGGGCCATTGCATGTCACATTGTTATGGGCTGTCACTCTTACTGCTGGAGGGTGGTGGTTACCTGGATCCCACTTGGGGAAGTAGTGCTCCCACAGTTCTAACTTAATGTTATATTATTTTGAATCTTGACATACATGTTGAACATTACCTATTTTTGTGTTTATCGGTGCTCTCAATCTCATTCTCTTTTCCTTTTTTGCAGACCATTATTTCATGTGTCAGTGTTGAATCAAATTCCAAATCTATCAGCCAATACCTTATACTAACATACTGCCTGTGGTTGATGAGTAGTTGCCAATATATACCTTTTTAATTCCCTGACCATACATCCTCTATTGATGTCAATTTTACTGCATAAGTTTTAATCATACTGTTATAGATGAGAAATATATTTATCTGTTATCCTGCTTGATAGTTTATTCATTGTGTATATGTTTTGAAATTTGTATTGATGTTTGTGTGTAATAATAGCTGTGTTACCGTATGTGTTAATAGTGTAAATATTTTACAGAAGCATCTTCAATTGCTTTTATAACCAACCCATGCTCTAATTATTCTGATTATCTGGTTTTTTGTTTAGATGGTGCCTGTTGAAATCCCCCCAGTTACATGTTATTTGGTTAGGGTTTTTATTTAGGGTTCCCTCTTAGGTTTAAAATAAATTTTAATTTCCTTAATCTCTAAGTTTTGTATTAGAATGAAATAAAGTTGAATGAAAAGAGAAAAACACCTTGTGGACAGGGATAGCAATAAGGGGAGTTAAGGGGACATCTTTTATTTAACCCCTTAGATTTTAAAGAACCTTGAATGCCTTCTCTTATTAACCAATGAAGACAACCCTTTATGACAGGTTTAGGAAGCCCAGTTTTAAACCAAGGTTTGCATTTTTCACTTACATGCCAGGACTTCAATATTTGGTACGCGAGTCACAGTTTTTGGTGTGAGGAGATCAGTCAACATGTCTAACCCTGGGAAGTGTTGGCCAGGTTCTTCCTTCAGACATTTAAAAATGCATGAATTGGAGTCAGCATCATATGAGGCCTGGCAGTTACCATTCAACTCACTGTCTTTAAGGTTGTGAGGAAGATGGAGTCTGCAAGGAAAATCATGTTACAAAAATAGAAAACAGCTTTTAATTGAAATGTTTTTTACCAAAGCAAATGACAAGAAATTCAACCTACACAATTGAGCATTTTTGTATTTTTTTTTTTTGTAGATCAGCTCCATCATTAGCTAAATTAGAAATTTAAAAATCTCTACAGGTTTGCCTGACTCAACTTTAAATAGCAGTTTCAGCTCATATTATTGTCAAACATTGGATAAACATAATGTTTCTCAACTTTGTTAAATAAATTGAATTGTCTGTAAAATTATGTTTGAAGTATTCAAAAGTTTAGGATTTCCTTTGTCAATCAGTTGATTCATAGATAGATTCAGCCAAACTGTCAGTGGAAATATAAATGTTCAAGGTTACTGAAGGCAAATGGATTCCAAAGCAGTAGCAAAACTCACCGCAGGAAGTAAGGAGCTGAAGTGAAGTAGAATAAGTTGTTATATGCTGTCACCTCTGTGTCTTGAAGTCTTGCATTGGGAGCATGAACAATAATTGTGACAGAGTTTTCATCTTGGCTTAGTTTGAAGACTGGTGTTAACATTGTTCAAGAAATAAACAATTATGACAACTGCAAGGGAGAACAGAGCTTTAAAGGGAGCGTCTGGGTCCAAAATAGACAATTTTGTCTTTTTGGGTTATTAGTCTCATCGTAAAGCTGACATTCTGCCTATCCAACGGTACCAAAACCATCTCTGTACGTTGATTTATGAATTCACGAGTCATGACGGATCACAAAAGGATTAGGGGTGGTGGAGTTCTTTAACATAATAACATCTAAGGGGAGAGTCAGCCACAATTGTATCTTGGCTATTTACAAATGGATCACTTTGAAACTTGGTACACATATGTAGAACAGAAATCTAAGACTTTTTTGTTCATGTGAATTCTTTGAAAAATATGAAAGAAAATGTGAAATTTTTAGAAAACGGTCAAAAAAAGAGGTTCTGTAGAAATCTATCTCCTCCTAGAATTTTCAAGCTACAACATTGAGACGCATATTATTCGATGCGCAAGGGCCATATCTATTGATTTGTCATAGCTTTTTTTGAAATTAGAATTTTTGTTTGTGGGGGAGCATTTTTCAATTCCTGTTAAGGATGGTGTGAGTGATGGCATGGTTGGCACCGTCAGTATGCGAACCATCCTGTAGGACTGCAGGTGGATAACTGAAGCACATTGTGTTTGGACTAGCTATTCAAGTGTGCTACCAGGAAATGGGAATTTCCACCTATCTTAAATGGGAAAGAACTCCACCACTCCCCACCCTTTTGTGATCTGTTGTGAACGCATAAATCAACGTACAGAGTCTTACAGCAATGAAATGAGAGATATACCTACCAGCCCTGCCCAGACAGCCCCACTTGATTTGCAAAAAAAAAAAAAAAATCTAGAGATTGGTCATAGCTTTTTCTCAATTTTGCTCTAGTTATGAAAATCTTTTGAAAAAAGGGCAGGAAAAAAGGGAGAAATTGAAAATTTTTTTGATAATTTTATAAAAAATGTGCTCCCACGCCCCACCTACAAAAATGTGAATTTTGAAAAAAAGCTAAAATGAATTAATAGAAAAGGTACTTACTACACATCAAATAATCTCAATGTTGTAGCTTAAAAATCCTAGGAGGAGATAGTTTTCTACAGACTACAGTCCCTCTTTTTGGCAGTTTTCTAAGAATTTCAGGTTTTCTTTTATTTTTTGAAAAATGTACATGAACAAAAAAGGCTTAGATTTATGTTTTACATATGTGTACCAAGTTTCAAAGTGATCCGTCAGTAAATAAAAAAGTTTTTCATTTTCTGGGACCCAGATGCTCCCCTGCGGGCCTAGCCTTAACCCTTTCGCGGGTAAGTTACCATATATGGTAACTGAAATTGGGGACAAAAAGTGGCCCCCCACAACTCCCCCAATGAGTTTGGGAGCCCGTCAGTGTGTTCCAGCCAATCACAGATCTTGCACAAGTTGCGTCATGTATGGCGTTGCTCTCTGCCGCGCTCTTGCACTATTGTGAGCTCAGTTGAAAATTAGTCACCACCAAGATATGACCTAATGTGCAGTTTGTGCTCCACCAGCCTCCACTCAACTAGTGAAATCTCAACAAGTAATGTCGGTATGTTCATGATAGGCAGTTGTATCATAGTAGTTGAAAACTTGTCTAATCGAATGATAATGTCATTTGCTTTATATGGAGGCAAATTGGTTAAATTAGACTATAAAAAACAGTGTGACTATGTATGGTCATGTGCCCGGCAGCACTCAAATATGGTACAATGGCAAAGTGATGTTAGTGATCATATGTGTACATGCCCCCTTTTAAGCTCAAATTTAGAATATTGTTCAAGTGACTGTGCCTGGACATATGCCCACTAAATCTAAGTGAATTTCTTTAGTGCTTTGTGATATAAATTCTGTACTATGCACGTGCCGGTGAATATTGTTGATATCTCTATTCTATTGTAGCTGTATTTAATGATCTTGCAATGAATTGACTCTCTTTGTTATTGAAATAGGATTGCAATATTCTGGGTGAAAATCAAGATATTGTGCATTCAATTAATGTTTCCTCAATATTCATGACATGTTAACTCAAGTCGCAGGGCAATGGACATAGAACAAATTGGGAACAAACGTTGTAAAATAATTTAAATGAATAGGGGACCTATGAGCAAGTTATTTTTAGTTTATAGTTGCATGGTGAAATGACAAACATCTAAAGAATTTGCTTCATGGGAGACTTTGCTAAATATCTTTGTTATTTTCAGTTCTCAACTTCAAGATTCTACCAAAAGAACCAGACCCTCACAACTGTAGTACCTCTGGACCCTAGCATCAGCGACGACGATTTGCTGGATGATGACATCTCTGACCCGAACTATATGCCTGTCCCTGACCCGCATAATGAGGATACTCCTGATACCACTGAAGGGCAACCCCCTACCAGTAAGCACCAATGCAGAAGGCCAGTCTTAGAAGAGGTACATGAGGAAGAAGATGTTGAAGAGGACATGGGTACTGCGACCGCCAGGAGAAAAGGAGCACCACCAACAATGGTCAGACAAAGAAGAAACGGGCCAAGTTGAATGAAAATGACAAGCAGTCAAGGCCTACAACATGGAGCAAAATTGACATCAGCAACCCACCACTGCCGGAGTATCAACACATACTTCCTCAGAGGCTCAGTATGTCAAAAATGCAGGTTACTTTTAAAAATTCTTCAATCAACCGCTCATTCAACACATTACATATCAAAGAAACCTTTATGTAACGCAAAAGGATGTTTCTACCACCTTCGCAACAACTGATGAAGAGATCCGCACCTTTATTGCCATAGGGTAAACGCGGTATATTCCAACACATTAATCGGTGATTTACTCGTACATCCTCCACCTGCATGGTTGAGAATGGTGGAGCTTCCAATATTGCGCAAAGCTGCTCTGGTGAGGTCAGCATCTGCTTAGAAGTTAGAACTATTGTCAGCTGGGCGGATGAGTATTACCTGTGAATCCCTTCGCTCAGGTGCGCTGCGTAAAACAGCATCTGCTAGACTGCTGCAGCAGTGATGGTCTTCTGACTTGATTGCTCAATAGGCGTTGAGTTTATTCTGGTATTAGGCCTCTTCTTGATCACTCCAGACGTATCTTCAATTGGCATGGGCAAACTCTTGCGTTTCCGACGTATTTCTCTGCAGTTTGACAAGTCGCCATCTTGGGTCTTGGAAGGAGTCGCATCATTTTCACCGGTGATCTCACTTTCACAGAAATGTCTGACTTGAGAGTCTGTCATCGTGAAATCTAGACCTGATGCGTCTGGTGAAGCACCCGGGTCAATCAGATCTTGGCTCTCAGATGTATTGATCATTGAGAGATCGTTAACACTGACACAGTATACAATGAAACAGAGAGGTTTGCTGACACGTCTTCTCTCGACAACGGTTCAAGCTTCTCTCCTAGGCCAACTGTCACACCTTTCATTTTTTTTTGAACCTGGTCTGCCGGGTCCGGGAATACTCCGGGTTTTAGTCACTCGGTCCGTGTCCGGCGGACCGGTCCGGGTCCGGGTTTTAGTCAGTACCAGACCCGACATGGTTCATGATAAACATCCAACAGCGCATTATGAGCAGATGTAAAAATAAAATCATCAGCTCCGGCCCCCGGGACAACGCAACCATCATATGTATTGAAGCTTGCAAAAATAATCGAACAGATTACGCCAGTGTTTTTTTTTTTCACTTAGAAGTTACAACTGAAGCTTACAACCAAACTTTTTTTGAGGAAATTTTCTGCATAATATATTTTCATTTTAACTTTGACATGTAAGAGCATGTAGTTGTGCAATATATTTCACTATATTTGCATAATTGCATGCAATAGATTACAATGCGTCGATGCCTGTATTCATGATACTCGTGCACTTTAACAATACGTACACCTGAAACTTTGTAAGCAATGAAATGCTGATGAAACTTCATAAGACCTAACGGTGATGTTTAGCTTGTACAATTTTTTTGATTTCACCTTTATTCCTGAGTTAGGTAGCCTATACAGAAATTTGAGCCAAAATTTGCAGTGACCAAGAAATTTTTTTTCAAACTACTGAACAAATTCAAACAAAACTTTGAATACGCATTCCTAACCTTCCAACGGTGATGTTTAGCTTGTGTTTTGTGACAATTTTTGGGATTTTACCTTTGTTTTCAAGTTTTTTTTTTTCATTTTATCTTCGTTCATGAGGTACACCGCAATTCGGGCCAAAAT